GACCAGATATACTGTAATATACATTTAAAGTAAAGTTGTTTTGCTGTAAAACCTCATAACAATAAAGGTACTGTAAACCAATAATTACAGTAACCTCCTGGCAATAGTGTTGCCGGTAAGTTACTGCAAAAATACAATGAAATGTCTGACAGTGAACTTACTGCGTGAACAGCAGTTTCTCATTGATGCCGCTGATGCAGGAGCTCAGACCGAGGATCAGGATCATTTTTCCCAGCCAGACGTGAACAGGTTTCAGGGATCCTCGGAACCACAGTGGAGAACAAGGAAACAAGAAACCAGCCAAGCCGAGGATCCACTTTCCATCAGCATCAGGTAAAATGACAAGAGGGATTCAATAACCCACAGACACAGACTAAAATGTGTAAATATTTGTCAACTCACCTGAAGTGCAAACAATGCCACAGTACAGATGCCCACCCAGCTGTGCAGAGAGTACAGGTTGGGGATGTTTATGCTTGTGTGGTTATCGAACACAGCGTACAGGCCCACCACAGACAGCAGCAAAGCAAGAAGCATCAGTGCAGCGTGCACCAGCTTCCAGGTGAGTTTGTTCTGTTTCCAGGTGAACGGGAGACGATACAAAACAGCAGCTGCAGAAACACAGACAAGGATGAAGGGACAGGGCTTTTATTATCTCTGCGGTAATTGGCTTTGTTCTGCTTTTAATCCAAATAGATGATTAATTACATATCATTGCAATTTTCTCTTAAGGATCAAATCAAGAAGTTGGATTTTATTTCCCATTCATCCAGTGCAAACAAAGAGTTTCAGTGTCTGTATGGACACATTCAATGATTTTCCAGGGATCCTGATGTCTAATTAAAATCACAACAAAACCCTGAAACCCTGATCCAAAAAAACATCTATGAGAAATTACTGAATGAAGCCCAGATCAATTGCTGGTACCCATTTTCATCCAGAGAGTTAAAATTGTTCAGATAAAATGTCCTGAAATATAACAGGTAATAAGAAATTTGATGAGTTAAATTCCCCCGGAATATTCCTCCAGTGTAAATGGTAAAAACATCTATGCAGCAGAGGCTGATCCTTAATATGGGACAAGCTCCACAAACACTGCTTCCTACAAATCCCATAATGCAACAGAGTAGCATCTTTTGTTTGACTCTCCCATAAAAGCCCACATCTCTTAAAAAAAGACATCACCACATCAACGTGAACGTGGTTATCCTCTCAGACTGGCAGAGCTCCTCTTAGAACCACAGAGCACATACAGGCTGCGGAGTGTCACACTCCTTGTGACACGATAATGACAAGTCATGTGTAAAATTGGAGGGTTCCCCAATTTAGGGCTGGTACTTTGTTATCGAGTGGCATATGTTCCGCCAATAATGGAAACCCCCAATTTTCCTTTCAGAGATATTTCGGTAGAATCATTGTTAAAGGGCCTGCTTGTGTTTTACTAGAGGAACAATGAGGTTACACGTCTTCAACCCCATTTATATCAGTGGAGATTGACTAAATCACAGAAAGACCTGTCTGTATAATGCACCACAACAGCACCACAAACTACATCCTTATTCATTTTAGCGAGAGTGTATCTGAACCTGTAACTCAGTCACAACATCTCACCGTTGCCGTACACAACCACCAGCCCCAACACCATGAGCACAGGGTGCCAGTTGAACTGCAGGGCAGAATGATCCCAGGCGAAGCCCCCATTCCAGTGTGAGCTCCAGTAGGTCACAAACAGCACACAGAGCAGGCCCAAACCCACACACAGCGAGTAGGTGGCGTAGAGAAACACAGACGACCTCATATCTGTGGCTTTGAAAGGAAGGAGGGTAAGTATATGTATTATATCATAAGCAGAACATAGTTTGTCTTCTGAACTGAGCTAAAATACCAGAGGTAAAAGAAGTTCCTGATGTAAACGTAATAATACAAAGTTTACATGTATTTATAAAACTCCAGCAGTATTATTAAGTGATATAAGTGAAATGATAACAGGGACAAC